TAATAATAAATTATATATATATATATATATATATATATTATATTTAAATATGTCTAAAAATTCAAAAGAAATTATAAATAGGTAATAACTATTTTGCAAATCGAAATTTAGCACGCCTTTTTTGGACACTACTTATAAACCATTTGTCATCATAAATCCTTCCTTTTGTCTACAAAAAGGAATAGTATTAACTCATTCTTTTCATAAAATCGTCCATAAAGAGAATAATTTCTTATTTTTGGTTCAATGGGGGACAATATTCTGTTTCTATTATATGTCTGCATGCTATTATGTCTCATATCATATGTAGCCATGTTAAAATTTAACAACATTTTTAATGGCTTGGATACTTCACATATATGTATAGGTGAAGTTTTTAAGAGTACCATACCAGATACGAATATGTGATTAGAGTATTGGTTAATAAGAGATATAGAAAGAAGTTGAGAGAGAGAGAATATTTCTGAAATGTAAAATACATATTCAATGCACAGCTACGCACTGATTAGAGAGAGTACATGTAGTTTATATAGAGACAAAAACTTCTAACAGAAGCTGTTGGGCTGTAACAGTTATTGGGCCTATAACAGAAAACAATAAATGTGACTAAAAGCACTTACTGACTAGGAATACAATAGAAAATAATAAAACAGAAAAATGTAAGGTCCTACACTACTGTTGTACTTGTACATATAAATAAAGTGTAAAACTATACTCCAATATTGGTGCTTCATAGTTGTTAAGTGTTGTGTTTTCAAGAAAATTGGTTTAGTTGTGTTCTCTATCATGATAATTGCTCTATTGTTGTATTCAATGATTTCCTTGTAATGTTTTATGATCTTTGACCTCCATGGTAGTCATATGAAATAATTATGTTTACATTCCCATTTTCTATTCAAATGCAAGAATAAAACCATCAGGCTTAAGCTCATTTTATTCACACTTATGTGACTTCTTTACATAGGCCTATGTCCAACAGTTGGAAAGTAGTCGTTTGAAGCTGACCCAACTAGAGCAAGAGCTTCAGCGTGCTAGGCAGCAGGTGAGGTTTAATAAATCCTTGCAATTAGATTGTTCCCAATTGTTTACTTTCTTTCTCTCCCCATTGCCTGATATATGGCACATTTTCTTCACAATTATGTTCAATTTTAAATCAAAATCTCTCGTTTCTCCTGCTGTAGGGGATCTTCATATCAAGCTCGGGTGATCAAGCACATACATTGAGTGGAAATGGTATCTCATTTCTAAAATGTTACTCATTGCTATAGTTTGAATATAAAAATGTATTCTAAAACTTAGTAGTATTCTCTGTGTCTGTTGTGTTGTAAAGAGATATTTCAGTAAACATTTAAGTTATTGACTACATCTAACTTGTAATAACCATTCATATCATTCCAATCATTGCATTGTTTTTCAGGGGCAATGCAATTTGATGCAGAATATGCAAGGTGGCTGGAGGAGCAGAATCGGCAAATTAATGAGCTGAGAGCAGCTGTAAATTCTCATGCAAGTGACACTGAACTTCGCATGATTGTTGATGGTATATTGGCACATTATGATGAGATTTTTAGGCTGAAAGGTGTTGCAGCTAAGGCTGATGTTTTCCATTTGTTGTCTGGTATGTGGAAAACACCTGCTGAGAGGTGTTTTTTGTGGCTTGGTGGTTTTCGGTCATCTGAAATCCTCAAGGTGAGGCTACACTGTATTCTCTTACACGCTGATCCTTTTCTTTCTGGTTCTCATGGTTTAGAAAATGGGATATATATATATA